AAACTGAATTTATATGCAGGTATCTATTCTGTAAACTACAAAACATTATTGAGATAAATTCCTTAAAGACCTAAATGAAGAGAATACCATGTTCATGGATTGCATTGACAGGAAAATCTTTTCCTCTACCAGTCTAGATCCCTGTTGTTGGGAACCTGCGAATTGATTAACAATAGACAGATCAACAGGTGGAGAGAAAAAGTTTATTTACACATTAGGCAAGGGAACTCTGTAATGAGTAACTCATTGAATAGCTGGAAGTAAAGGTTTATTTACCAACTTAAGAAAAAGGGGTTCAGGCTGGGCGCAGTGGCTCACGCCTGTAATCCCAGCACTTTGGAAGGCCAAGGCAGGGGATCACGAAGTCAGGAGTTCAAGACAAGCCTGGCCAACATAGTGAAACCCCATCTGTACTAAAAATACAAAAATTAGCCAGGCATGGTGGCGCGTGCCTGTAGTCCCAGCTACTTGGGAGGCTGAGGCAGGAGAATCACTTGAACCTGGGAGGCAGAGGTTGTGGTGAGCTGAGGTCACGCCACTGCACTCCAGCCTGGGCAACAGAGCAAGATTCCATCTCAAAAAAAAAAAGAAAAGAAAAGAAAAAGGGGTTCAGTAGAAAAGTATGGATAGTTCTATTATTTTCTTTACTTTTTTTTTTTTTTTTTTGAGACAGTTTCGCTCTTGTCGCCAGGTTGGAGTGTGATGGCACGATCTCGGCTCACTGCAACCTCCACTTCCCAGGTTCAAGCGATTCTCCTGCTTCAGCCTCGCAAGTACTGGGATTACAGGCAGCCGCCACCATGTCTGGCTAATTTTTGTATTTTTAGTAGAGATGGGGTTTAATTATGTTGGCCAAGCTAGTCTGGAACTCCTGACCTCAGGTGATCCGCCTCAGCCTCCCAAAGTGCTGGGATTACAGGCATGAGCCACAGTGCCTGGCCTCTATTGTTTTCCTGTGTGATTTTTAATTCTAATAGAGATGGACAGTCTGTCTCCTTTCTGGAATTTGCAGAAAACTCCCTCGGAGGGGGTTAATGGCAGTTGTATTTTCAGGAGGCTCTCCTTTAGTTCAGTAAGAGAAGTTTAGAGAACATTTCAAGTGTTTTCACTGTAAAGTAATCTTTGTGCCAAAGCTGTGGATTCCTTCATTTGGAAGGTTCAATATTGTAAAGATATCATCTTATAAACTGATTTATAGATTCAAGTCAATCCCAATTCTATGCCAAAAGGTGTGTGTTTGTATATTTGTGCATGTGCATGTGTGTGCAAACTGACAAACTGATTGTAGAATTCACATGGATTGAGTCTGACTTATCTCCAGGCCAGAGTCAGAGGTGACAACCTGCCCACTGCTTAACGGTGGCTGTGGTGGACACATTTTATTTTGTAAAAATACAAAAACTAGCTGGGCGTGGTGGCACATGTCTGTAATCCCAGCTACTGGGGAGGCTGAGGCAGGAGAATCGCTTGAGCCTGGGAGGCAGAGATTGCAGTGAGTGGAGATAGTGTCATTGCACTCCAGCCTGGGGGAGAAGAGCAAAACTCCATCTCAAAAATAAAAATAAAAATAAAAATAAAAATAATCCTAGGGCTGGGCACAGTGGCTCATGCTTGCAATCAGCACTTTAGGAGGCTGTGGTGGGAGGATTGCTTGAGGCTGGAAGTTTGAGACAAGGGTGGACAACATAGTGAGACCCCATCTCTTTTAAAAAATAAAATAATTTTAAAGCCCAATGAACACTAAACTTCCCTGTATGTTTGGACATTTTATAATCAAATTTTAAATAAAGACTATGAAAATCAGGGGAAAAAATAAGTTCTGAAAAGTCAACAAAACCTCCCACTGGTGTAACAAAAAGGAGCAATGAAAAAAACAGGAAAGGCAAATGAGATCAGTGCAGGGTGGCGTTCCAGACTGGGAAGGGGTAGGAGAAAGGTAGGAGAAAATGGAGAGGAGGCAACGGATAAGACACAGTTAGGGGGTCACCGAGACCACCCTCACTTCTGATATTGACTGCAAGCCCAGGAGTCTCCAAGACCACCATCAGTTTCAGTAATTTGCTAGAAAGACTCACAGAACTCGCCAGGGTCAGTTATTCTCATGGTTGTGGCTCATTACAGTGAAAAGAATCAGATTACAATCAGCCCAGGGAAGAAGTCCATGGGTCCAGGAGAGTTCCAAGTGCCAGTTTAATACCTGGTGCAGTTGTGGACAGCACTAACTTCTCCCAGTAATGATGAGAGACATGATATCACCCATCAGGGAAGTCTCCCTGAGCCTCGATGTCCAGGGTTTTTAATAGGGATAGGCATGTGGATAAGGCTGACCACTTGTGTGGCTCCCTTTAGATTCTAGCCCCTCCAGAGGTTAAGCTGATACCACATGGCCCAAAGCCCCTGCCATAAATCACCACTATTAGCACAAACCATTTGGTGTGGCCCAAGTCCCCAGTTCAGGCTGTACATTCCAAGAACTAAAAAATTACCTCCCAGGAGTAAAAGGCAAAGGTCAGACCTCTATTTGGGTGAGGTTAATCCTTTACTGAGCAGACAAGAAAAATTCAAGGGCTAAAGAGAGAAACAGGATTTGGATAGAAGATAGTTTAAAGTAGTTTAAAGTAAGGGGAATGAGAAAAGCATCCATCTTGGTGTAATGTCAGTGCCACAGGGGTGACAACAAGCCCCTCTGCCTTTATACATCATGGAACCAGGCCACCAAACTGCTGAGGAATAGGATTTAGAACTAGTCATTCTGGGGCTAGAATTTATCATCTAATCTAATGTGAAGGTGGAAAAAGATATTTCAGATATTCAAGGACTCAAAACACTGAGGTACTAAGCATTCTTTCTGTGAAAGATATTTAGGGATATACTCCAGGAAAACTAGAATGAAATTCAACAAAGAGAATGCAAGTTTCTCAAAACAGGAGGAGCGATATGAAGGAGAACAGTCCTGCAGCAGCCCAGAGAACAGCCAGTGTGTCCATGAGTATTTATTTAATAAACAGAATAGGAGCAAACATCTGGATGATCTTAGTCCCATGGTGAATTTTTGTGGGTTGCATAGTTTGAGAATCATCATTCTAGGAAAAACTAAAACCTTCATACAGTAACATCAAAGTTGAAATAAAAGAAAACAAAAATGTGGCACGATATGAAGTAGTGAGTACAGCTGGCATTTAATGATAATGCTTCACACACCACTGGTTTAGTGAAATAAAAATACATCTTCATTATGGATCTACAGGATTAATATTTCCATAACCTTCATATTTTACATTGTCTATATTTTCAATTTCAGGCAGCACAAAGCATTGCACAAAGCAATTACATAGGTTACTAATAAACACTAAAAAAAATAGTCTGGGCGTGGTGGCTCATGCCTATAATCCAGCACTTTGGGAGGCTGAGGCAGGTGGATCACTTGAGGTCAGGAGTTCGAGACCAGCCTGACCAACATAGTGAAACCCTGTATCTACTAAAAATACAAAAAAAAAAAAAAAAAAAAAAGTAGCTGACATGATGTTACACGCCATTGATCCAAGCTACTTGGGAGGTTAAGGCACCAGAATGGCTTGAATGTGGGAGGCAAAGGCTGCAGCGAGCCGAGATCACACCACTGCACTCCAGTCTGGGGGACAGAGTGAGACTGTCTCAAAATAAATAAATAAATAATAAATAAATAAATAAATAAATAAAGGCTGGGCGTGGTGGCTCACATTTGTAATCCTAGCAGTTTGGGAGGCTGAGGCAGATGGATCATTTGAGGTCAGGAGTTCGAGACCAGCCTGGCCAAGATGGTGAAAACCCGTCCCTACTGAAAATACAAAAATTAGCTGGAAATTGCTTGAACCTGGGAGGTGGAGGTTGCAGTGAGCTGAGATGGTGCCACTGCACTACAACCTGGGCAACAGAGCAAGACCCCGTCTCAATAAAAAAAAAACCATACATACATACATAAAAATAAACAGTAAAAGAATAAAAATAAAAACCACTTGTAAAAATTGGGAGGGGAAAGGGAAGGAGGTAGAATATGTGACGAATTCCATGTAGTTCATGAGGTTGGAGGGGAATGCAGTGAAAATCAAGTTACAATTTTTTTTTTTTTTTTTTGAAATAGAGTCTCGCTCTCGCTCTGTCTCCCAGATTGGAGTACAGTGACATGATCTCGGCTCACTGCAGCCGCTGCCTCCCGGTTTCAAGCGATTCTCCTGCCTCAGCCTCCAGAGTAGCTGGTATTAGAGGCACGCGCCATCACGCCCAGCTAATTTTTGTATTTTTAGTAGAGTAGGGGTTTCGCCATGTTGACCAGGTTGGTCTCGAGCTTCTGACCTCAACTGAGCCACCTGTCTCAGCCTCTCAAAGTGCTGGGATTACAGGCGTGAGCCACCGCGCCCAGCGAAGTATGAATTCTTGATGGAATTAAGAGTTAGCCTCCGGGCTGCACACACCTGTAGACCCAGCACTTTGGGTGGCTTTGGCAGGAAGATCACTTGAGCCCAGGAGTTCGAGACCAGCCTGGACAACGCAAGGAGACCCCGTTTCTACCAAAAAAATTTAATAATTAGCCAGGCATGATGGCGTGCACACGTTGTCCCAGTTACTCTGGAGGCTGAGGCAGGAGGAGGAGGCCCAGGAATTTGAGGCTGCAGTGAGCCATAATCTCGGCACTGCACTCCAGCCTGGACGATAGAGCGAAACCCTGGCTCAAAAGAAGAAAAAGAAAGAAAACAAAAGAGCATCAGCATCTTCTGTGTTTATAAAGATGCAAAAGCTGACACTCCACCTTCACGTGAGTAAGTCATTAGTTAAGCAAGTTTTCCCTAGAGGATTCTGGGTGTGAGGCCTGCGCTTGTCTTCGTTAAGGCTCCCCCTCCAGCACGCGTCCGATTGTGGTGACCACATCCCCATTGCTACATCGGGGACATCGAGGCACAGAGGGGCTGAGCTTGCAGGAGGCTGCCCTGCAAAAGATCCCTGACTCCAGTCTTTCCCCGCAGTGTACCACTGGCTGGAGATGCGGACCAAAATGCGCATCATGGGCTTCAATGCCGCTGCCGTCAAGCCGCTGAACGAGGGGGCAGCCGCCGAGCTGGGCGCGGAGCTGCTGGGTGAGGGCATCATCTTCATCACCGCCTGCAGCTGCCTGATGCTGGAGTACTGGCGCCACCAGTTGAAGCAGCGCCGCAAGGAAAAGGAGCGACGCATTGCCAGGGAGTCGCTGCAGGGCGAGGTGGGCCACTTGGGGCTGGCGCTCGAGGAGCTGCAGACGCAGGTGCAGGCCACGCAGATGCAGCTCGCCCTGGAGGAGCTGCGCGCTCAGCTGCAAGAGGTGCGAGCCCACCTCTGCCTCCGAGACCCGCCTCCTGCGCCCCCAGTTGTGCCGGCGTCGGAGAAATAGGAGGTCTCGGGGCCCTGGTCTTGGAGGTGACTACTGCCTGGACTGCGAAGTCTCCGTCTTGGCCTATTCTCCGCACTGTCCCATCCTGGACAGGCCCAGCTGACACCACCCAGTCCTTCGAGGGCGCCGCAGAGATGCTGGGCTGAAGCCGACCAACCTCCCTACTAAACTGCCCCAGTGGTACCTTCCACTGGGACTCCCCGCCTCCTGCAGGTGGAACGTTCCAAGAAGGACCCCGCCCTCTCCCACCCCGCCCCTGCCAGCGCATTGGTTGAGCACTTTGGAGAGGCAGCGTCTTTTATCAGACCCCACCTCCATCCGGCTAGGTAGGCCAGCAGGACGTCCACCACTTTTGGCAAAAGAAAATTGGATTCTGCACCTGGATTTAGCCACCTCTCATTCTGTCACCCGCACCCTCACTCACCTGAGTGGAGCCTTCCCCTAGGACGCTTATCTTTTGCACCAAACACCCACTACCTCCACCTCATTGGTACAGACCATTGTAAAGATGCACAAAGTTCGTACGGACTTCCTGACTCGCCCCCTTCCATCTACCTCAGTCTTAGGGGGAAGGGAGGTGGGGGTGAATCCTGCACAGTGTTAGCTCCAATAAGTCACCACCCTGTGGCTCCTGACCTTAATCCATCTTAGTACCTGCCATTGGCATCCTCCCCTCCCTGAGTGGATCGATCCAACAGAACCCCCCTCTTCTTCCACCTATGGCGCACCCTACTGGCATGGCTATGCTGGGTCTTCCAGGGCGACACCTCCCAGCCTGGCATTCTGTAGTCTGTTCCAGCAGGACGTGGCCTTTTGGGAGGAAAAACCCATCTTGACCAGGGATAGTCCATTCTAGCTCACCAGTCCCCAGTCCTGGACCTACTGCTACTGTCCTTTTATCTGGTCATCCCTCGCTGTCCTCTTCAGTTGCCTTTGCTAGGGACCGGCCTGTCCCTCTACTACCTAAGTCATCGTCAGTTCGCCCAACTTCCCTCCAAATCTGCCCCTCAGAGTACTCAGGGATCGCCCTTTCTTCCTGCCTTTGGACTGGCCCAGGTCTCCCTCCGCCCTCCTTCATGCAAAGGCCTCCTCCGGGGGACTACCCGTCCCTCAGCCCTGAGGTCCCCCTGTCCAAGCGGGATATTCCACCAGGCCATAGGACCTACCCACCCGACAACTGAAGGGGGCGTGGGTGAGCTGTGACTCTGAATGCTACTTTTTACATACACTGTCAGCGTGTTATAATTAAAGGAGCTCTGGGGTAAAGATCTTAAGAATGTGTCTTAGAACCATGATGTGCGTCTGCAAAATGTCATTGAAATTAGGAAAGAAGGTCGGACACGGTGGCTCACGCCTGCAATTCCAGCACTTTAGGAGGCCAAAGCAGGAGGACTGCTCGAGGCCAGGAGTTAGAGACCAGTCTGGGCAACATAACAAGACCACATCTCTACGAAAAACAAAAATATTAGCTGGGCATCGTAGCAAGCGCCTGTAGTCCCGGCTACTTCGGAGGCTGAGGCAGGAGGATCCCTTGAGCCCAGGAATTCAAGGCTGCAGTGAGCTGTGATCCTGCCACTACACTCTGGCCTGGGTGAAAGAGCAAGACCCCAACACATTTAAAAAAAAAAAAAGGAAAGAAGCTGGGAGAGTGGTAGAGTAGAGGCAGAGAATCATCTTATGAGCCCTTTCCCAAATCAGAAACTGAGGCCTGGGGTAAGCAAATGGACTTGCCCAAGGCCACACAAAGTGAGGCTTCTTCTGCCCCTCCTCCCACCAGGGTGGTGAAGGGCAGGATGGGATGGGGAGGAAATGGCCTCCTAAGGGGCATGAGGAGGGAGGCTAGAGGGGCCAGAGATCATCCTGGCTGCGGGCCTGAGGATGTGGGAGCAGGTACAATGTGCAGGGTGGGAAGGAAGATGAGGGGAAGGTGGATTCCTGGGCGGAGGCAGGGGTTCTCAGCAGAAGACCAAATCTTCCTGGAGGGGCAGGGGTGGCCGAGCACGCCTCTATCCCCATCAGAACAGCCCTTCAAATCACTCCAGAGATCTTAGCATTTATAAAAACTGGCAGATTTATTCTGCAGGGGCCCATTTTCAAGAAGCTAAAGGTGAAGGTGGGAGGGGAGAAGTTTCCTCCCCTTTTCCTTTCTCCCTCATCTTATTTTCTCCAAGGGGTAAAAATATGACCTGGACCCCAAAACCTACCCAAATAAAAAATCAAAAAACTGAGGTTCCAAAAAGTTACAGCATCTTAATTCCTCATAGAAAAGGGGGAGGAGCCAGAGAGAAGGGGAGTCCCTGGTGGGGGGAGGCACCCCCAGCCCGGTCAGACATCACCTCCCCTTAAATAGCTGCCCCAAATGGGGCAAGCCCAGGGCTATAGCATTTAAAAACTCCCACACCCCATTTTATCAAAACCAAAGAGAAAAAAAAATTTCCCTTTTCCCCCAAAACCCAAATATATATATATATTTTTCTTAAAAAAACAAAACTTTGAAGGCATTAAGCGTTAAAGTGAATCTAGAACAAAGGAATGTGAAATTCCCTCCTTCCTTCCCCCTTCCTGTGGGGTTCATTGGTGCATCCCCAGCAGAGGGACCGGCCCCAAGGGGATGGCAGAGGGGAAGGACCAAAGGGAGAAAAGGGCGGGGGCCTCCCCAGCCAATCAGCAGCCAGTGTGGGTGTGAGCAGGGAAGCCACGCCCCCTTGGAGTTTTCCAAGTGGGATGGGGAATGGGAACGATGCATTCCTGTGTAGTCTTCAGCCAATTCCAAGTCAAGTAGAGGCAGGGAAAGCAAGGTGACAGGCGGGGTGTGCGGAAAGGAGAAGAGGGTCTTCTGGGTCCGTTCCTGTGGTCAGGGAGAACCCCGCTTCCTCAGCTCCTGGACAAAGGCTGGAAGGAAACAAGAAGCAGAGGTCAGGGGCACAGTCTCTGCCTCCTCCCTTCCAAAACAGGGCTCTTGCCCAGGGACATGATGCCTCCGAAATAAGTAAATGTTTAAGAACCAAACCAAACCAAACCACCTCACCTTCAATGATTTCCTCTTTCACTTTCTGCAATTCCTTCTTCACCTCTTCCAGAAGCTCCTAAAATTAATGGGATACAACTAATCAGGAGCGGGTACTGGGACTTGCAGGAACGAATATCCCTTCTGTTACTTTTTGAGATGAGGACTTGCTCTGTTGCCCAGGCTAGGGTGCAACGGCACAATCACAGCTCATTGCAGCCTCAACTTCCCAGGCTCAGGCAATCCTCCTGCCTTAGCTTCCCAAGTAGCCCGGACCACAGGCACCTGCCGCCACAATCAGGTAACTTTTTCTTTTTTTTTTGAGAGAGAGTCTCCCTGTTGCCCAGGCTGGAGTGCAGTGGCCCAATCTCGTCTCACTGCAACCTGTGGCTCCTGGGTTCAAGCGATTCTCCTGCCTCAGCCTCCCAAATAACTGGATTACAGGTGCCCCTGACCAGGCCCAGCTAATTTTTGTATTTTTAGTAGAGACAGGGTTTCGCCATGTTGGCCAGGCTGGTCTTGAAGCTGACCTCAGGTGATCCACCCACTTCAGCCTCCCAAAGTGCTGGGATTACAGGCGTGAGCCACCCCGGCTAATTTTTTGTATTTTTAGTAGACACGGGGTTTCACCGTGGTCTAGATCTCCTGACCTCGTGATCCGCCCACCTCCGCCTCCCAAAGTGCTGAGATTACAGGCGTGAGCCACCGCGCCCGGCTGAGTCAGGTAATTTTTTAAAGTTATTTTTAGAGATGAGGTCTCCCGATGTTGTCCCAGGTTGGTCTCAAACTCCTGGCCGCAAGCAATGCTCCCACATCAGCCTCTCAATGTGCTGAAATTACAGACATGAGCCACCGTGCCCTGCCAGAGTCCCCTCTTTCTTGTTGATGGAAAAGCCAGAGGGAGTAGGTTTGAGACCCACCCCTACCCCGACACCATGACATTGCTGTCAAGGTCGCAGAGTGACTGGAGGATTCTAGGGGAGAATTCTGGATCCTTGGAGCCGGAAAAGTACTGGAGAACATCCAGTACCAAGGTTGGCAAGTGCGTTCCAGCCTCCTGCCAACTCCAATTGGTGACGGACAGCTGGGTCAATGTGCGGAAGGGATTCAAGGCACTCATCGGGAATGAGCGCGGTGACAGATTAATAATGTCTGTCACAGGCGCCAGAAAAGGGGGCGTGGGGTCTGGGTCATCCTTGATCCAATCCAGCCTCTCCATTTGTCAGATTGGAAACCTGAGGTTTCTGAGATGTTATCTAGAATCATATGGCATGCCAGTGGCAGGGGCCAGACCTAGAACTCTCTTGCTGTGGTTCCCAACCTCCCCTCCAAGTTACCTGTTTCACCCTCTGTAGGTCCGAGTCATCGCTGGAGCTGGGCGTGCAGGGGTGGGTCTCGGAAGTGGTCACGGAGGAAGATGACTTCATCCTGGGGGAGTTGGCATGGTTTGGGAGAGCAATGAAATTAAAAAGAGGACCTGCTTCCCCACCTCCTATTCCAGGGATCACATTGAGTTCCGCCTTATAAATTGGGCAAGTCCAAGTATTTTGAGGTCCCCAGTTTTTGTTTTGTTTTGTTTTGTTTTGAAACAGTCACATTCTCTCTCCCAGGCTGGAGTGCAGGCACGATGGCGGCTCGCTGCGGCCTCGACTTCCTGGGCTCAAGTGATCCTCCCACCTTAGCCTCCCGAGTAGCTGGGACCACAGGTAAGTGCCACCACACTTGGCTAATTTCTGTAGAGTTGGAGTCTCGCCATGTTGCCCAGGCTGGTCTTGAACTCCTGGGCTCAAGCGATCTTCCCGTCTTGACCTCCCCAAGGGCCCCAGTACCAATGGCCTACCTTGGCAAGGTTGTGCTGTTCTTCTCCCAGGGTCTCCGTACAGATTCTGGGGATAGGCAACAAATCAGAAAGATCAGGGACAAAAGACTGCCCCCCAATCAATCTTACTCCCGCAGTCTCATCAGCCCCTGTTCAAAGCCCCATCTCAGGAGACTACAATCCCCAGCACCATCGCCCTGACTCTCCCCTGAAGGTGCTTAACATGTGAGAACAGGGTATTCTGGGATTTGTAGTTCCTGTGGCTGGACTGGGCACTCACTCACCACTCTGGGCCGGGACTCTGGCCTCTGGCTCCTCCTGCTGGTAGGAAATAAAACTGCCATGAGCCAGCCCCTGCCGCACCTCTGCGCATTTCCTCTTTCAGGTTCAAACCCCACACATCCCACTATCCCTACCCTCATGATCCGGCCTAAGAGGTGAAGGGCAAGAAGAGCCCCTAACTTACATTAGCAGATTCATCCTTGGGGGTTTTCTCCCCAACCTGTGTGGCTTTCCTTCTGCAGGAGAGAAAAGCAAAAACACATGCTCCGTCACCCAACCCATCCCCTTCCGAGGGGAGTTCTAGAAATGTAGATGCTAGGGCATAGAATTCTGGAACTCAGAAAACCTAAGGAAACTCTAGTTGCGAAATTGAAGAGATTGTGCTGGGCGCAGTGGCTCTCGCCTGTAATCCCAGCACTTTGGGAGGCTGAAGCAGGCGGATCTCTTGAGGTCAAGAGTTCAAGACCAGCCTGGCCAACATGGTGAAACTCTTGAGTCTACTAAAAATACAAAAATTAGCCGGGCGTGGTGGCTCATGCCTGTAATCCCAGCTACTCAGGAGGCTGAGGCAGGAGAATTGCTTGAACCCTGGAGGCGGAGGTTGCAGTGGGTTGAGATCTTACCACTGCACTCCAGCCTGGGTGACAGAACGAGACTCCATCTCAAAAAAAAAGAAAAAGAAAGAGAAAAAAAAGTTCAAGAGATTGCGGTTCTAGAATCAGGATAGAGAAGGTTCTATGATTCTTATATTAGGGAATAGTAAGATTCCGAGGGTGGAGCGGTGCTGTGTTAGAACACTGAGATTGCCGGAATCTGAGTTCCCAGAATTCCAAGGCAGGATCTCCTACGGTTCTAGAATTCTGGGTTTCAGAACATTCTACAGGCTACCTAGGTGGTTGCAAGCCTCAGCCATTTCAGGAAATGACAAACCCCACCATTATATCCCAAACCTGGTTATCAAAGTGGGGAACATTCACCAAAAGAAACAAACCAAACAGGAATCGGAGCCCTCCCCTGACTGGGCCCTACTGAACTGGAATCTCCAGTTGACTCGGGCGTCCAGGCTCAGGCTCACCTCCGGGCCAGCATGGCGTTCATCTCTTCCATGAGTCCCCCACCTCCGCTTCGACCACTCTCAGCTTTGGGGGCTGCGGGCCCCCCTGAGG